GGGTGGGCATTTGATTAAGAGAGACGCATGGACAGGCCAGTGTCTGAGTATCAGATTCGAGTTTATGGTCATGATGTCATCCACGGTGAAAACGAATTTCCTGCACCAGCAGCCGAGGAAGATAAGGACGAAGTGCGTTGTGCGGGCCGGGCGCTGTGTGTGAAGCACTTTACAAACACTTCCTTTCCGGGCACCGCCGCCGGCGAGGTGGTGGCATCCATGGTACAAGGCGGCCGGAGGGAGGATGTGTCCGGGGTTGGGCCGCTGGTGGCAGGCAGGTTCGGGTCCCTTCCAGAGCCGACCCCCCAGGAGGGTTTGCTGGACCACCGGCGACCTGGTGGACCGAAGCCCGAATGAAATCTCGCCAAGGACTATAGGAAGTCACCTGCTCTTGTTAATATTATGGTTTTTTTCCCTTTTCCAGGCAATTTAAGGGAATATGTTTAATAGAAATAAACTATCTCCTTCCTTTAAATTAGCCACAAAAATGTCTGGGAGAAATTTTGATGAAAACACAGGGAATCCATGGAGGGGTATTTTAATCTGTAGGAAGTAATAGAACTGTAGCTGTTTTGGAGATACTTGCTAGACAATTTTTCGTGCGTGGGAAAGTTGGGGAATGATTTAGAATCCTAAAAAAAAAGACAGAAAGTCTTTTTACTGAGTACTTAATGGTTTTTCCTTAGAATATGGAGATAATAACAATAATCTAAAGGAAACCACCTACGTTTTCTGGGTGCATAGACAATAGTTCTCTTTTAAAGCTGTATAAGAGTTTCATTACAAATAATACTTGTGAAGCGCTTGGAATAGAGCTTTTGTATTGTGAAGTGGGTAGCATGTTAATGGTGACAAGTAGCTTTCACCATATCCTGTAACTGTCATACTCTCCCAACTTCACCTGGGCTAAGAATGTCAGTGAGAATTGCCCATCCAGGCAAGGAAGTCATCCCAGGTGAGGTAGAATGTGCTTTGTCCCCTCAATTAAAGAAAACTATCTACTACTTCGGGTTGCTGTTGGGGTTATTTGGACGTAGTCTAGATGAGTCTGCTTTCTCTTTTTCCCATCATCATCATCATCATCATCATCATCATCACTCGAGGCCTGATGCACAAAAATTCTTGCAAGACTAGGCCTTTCTTCCCCTGGCTGCCGGCACCAGCTTCCCTCCTCAGTCCGCCGGTAGGCACCTGGGACCCGGGCTGGCTTCCTCGGGCTGCCCACACCACCCAGGATCTGGGTTGGCTTCCCTCTGGCCCTGGCTTCGTCAGGAAGGACGTCTGGAATGATGTCTGGAAGACATCCAGCATAATTAGCATATTACCCTTTTATTATTATAGATAATTTTTGCTTGGAAAAATTACAAAATGTCTCCCAGTGTTTTCTAATATAACAGTGATTTTCATACATTGAAAACTACTTGAGATCTCATTGATGTTTTATTTATAGTTTAATGCTCCCTGTTAGAATAAATCAGTATTTGGAAGGCATAGATACAGGTGCTGCTAATGAAAGATGTTCTGGCAGGAAAAGTTCTGTTAATCGTTTGGAGATTATTACTAGACTTGTTAACTTGCTGTTACTAGACTCATAACTTTGTTGAAGACATGAAATTGGTAAGAGCACATTAATTGCTTTCTGAGCTTTGGCCACCACTGACCTTCAACTTCATCAAATGTAAAAAGGGATTTAGATTAAATTATTTTTAGTTATTTTATAGTTTCACAGTAATACCATCTGCCTGTCATAGTGCACTTTTTTTGCAACATAACAGCTTTGTAACTAGAATGGATAAAGGAAACTAAATTTAAGGGTCTGTTCGGTAATGCTTTATGCATCCCCATTTTACACACAAGGAAATTGAATCTGGGAGGAGTTAGATCTGCCTAAGATTGTCCATCTACTAAGAATGAATTCAAATTCTGGGATTCTTGTGGTCTCCATGCTGTATGTGCTTCTAATGCTGGGGACAAGGACTGAAACACTTGGATCCTAGCATTGTATTAAGGGATTACTGACCTCAAGATAAACATCCCATGCATCTTGAGCATCATTTCTACTCAAGATTTGGGGAAGAAAGAGTTTGATTCTTATGTAATTTGTGTGAGACAGAGGCAGACACTGGTTTCTGCTTGTATTGTGGGGGTTTTTTGTGTGGGATTTTTCCCATATGAGAAGCGGTGTAAAATATTTTCCCATTAAAACACCCAAGTCTGTATTATGAAGTATACATTTCACATAATTTTTGAGGTAAAATGAGACAGGTAAGATGTTTCCTGTTTTGTAAAAGGGTATTTTCAGATGCTTTTAAGATTACAATTATTTCTTCTTCTTCTTCTTCTTCTTCTTCTTCTTCTTCTTCTCTCTCTCTCTCTCTCTCTCTCTCTCTCTCTCTATATATATATATATATATATATATATATATATGTGTGTGTGTGTGTGTGTGTGTATCACATACTATCCAATTCACTCATTTATAATGTAAAATATTAGAGTTGCACAACATCACCACAGTTAATTTGAGAACATCTTGATCACCCCCCAAAAGAAATCTTATGCTCATTAGCATTTCTCCCCAACCCTTTGTTCAAGGAAAACTACTAATATACTTCCCTTTTCTGTAGTTTTGCCTAGTCTAGGCATGTTAAATAAAAGGAGTGATACAATAAGTGATCTTTTGTGACTGCCTTCTTCCACTTAGCATAATGTTTCACAGTTTTTCCAAGTTGTAGCATATATTAGTACTTCATTCCTTTTTATTGCCAAATAATATCCATTGTGCGATATACCACATTTTATTTATCCACTTATCACTTGATGGACGTTTGAATTGTTTCTACCTCTTGGCTCTTAGGAATAATGCTGTAGTGAGTATTTGTGTATAAGTTTTACTGTGGACATAATGTTTTAATTTCTCTTGTGCATGTGCATAGTAGTAGAATTACTGGATCCTGTGGTAACTTTATTTGAAGAACTGCCAAAATGTAAAATGTTTTCTAAGTGTGGTTGCACCATTTTACATTCTTACTAGCATTGTATAAAAAGGTTCCAATTTTTCTGTATTCTTCCCAACATTTGTTATTATCTGTCTTTTTGATTACTGTATTCATCATAGTGGGTGATGAATACAGTAATCTTATGGTTTTGATTTCCATTTTACTGATGACTAATGATGTTGAACATCTTTTCATGTGCTTATTTTCCATCTGTATATCTTTGGAGAATTGTTTTTTAGGGTTCTTCCCTTGTTTTTAATTGGATTTTTTGACTTTTATTATTGAGTTGTTATAGTTTTTTACATATTCTATATATATAATACATATATTTTATATATTCCTTATCAGATATATGATTTGCAAATATTTTTTCTCATTCTGTGGATTCCCATTCTTTATGGTATCCTTTGAAACATTAAAGTATTTAATTTCAGTTTCAAGGAAGTCAAATTTATTCTGTTTCTGTAACTCATGCTTTTGGTGCTATATCTAAGAAGACATTGCTTAAGCCAAGGTCATAAAGATTTATTCCTGTATTTTCTTCTAAGAGTTACATATATATGTATGTTGGTTGTTGACTAAGCATACATGAATCAGGAGGTTTTGGCTAGAAATAAATGGTAAAGATCTATTCAAAGGTATTACACAACTAGGTAAATATCTAGAGTGTTCTGAAAAAAGGAAGAGAAGCTGAGGGTTTTTATAGTAAAAAGTACCTTCTTGAGAAGAATCAGTCTTGCATTCTGAGTCTTTGGATTGGGCCAAGATGTAATCCTCTAGATCAGTGGTCGGCAAACTGTGTCTCGTGAGCCACATGCAGCTCTTTGGCCCCTTCAGTGTAGCCACGAAGTTTCAATCGAATTGTACTTGTGGGCCCGCATGTGGTATTTTGTGGAAGAGCCACACTCAAGGGGCCGCAGTTTGCCGACCACTGCTCTAGATAACTGATGGTCTGGAAAACGGATGTCAGGTGGTCTGGACAGGTGAATGTTCTTTCCTTCATCAGGGGTAATCAGAGGATTAGCAGAGGTTTGATGTCTATTGATGCAGAACTGGAATATTCAAAAGTTTAAGTTTCCAGGCTAGTTAAAACAAGAATAGAATCTTTTTCTCAGATATCAACCTACTTGATTTTAGTAATTTAGGAGCTTTACTATAGTGAATCCATTTTATTTCTTCACTCTAATCCTCATGGTCTATGATCCATTTTGAGTTAATTTTTGTGTATGGTATGAGATGAGGGGTCTAAATTCATTCTTTTACATTTGGATATCTAGTTGTCCCAGCACCCTTAGTTGAATTTTCTTGGAACCCCTCTGCTCTTATAAGTAACGCTGTTGGAAAAGTTTTCTGCATACTATGACATTCCATTTGTAGTAATTCCTTGAAGAGCTTGGTTTTATAAACAATACTTTTATGGTGCATGGATCTCAAGCATAGAATTACAAAAAGTTTTGGTGTTGTCTGACAACATTCATTCAAGCTTGTCTTTGTTCTTTCAAGGTGACAAGTTGATTCATTGTCCTGATTATTTATGCCCCTATTTTCAGTATTATATATTTGAAAAGTATAACATTCTTGTCTCTTGATAAACAGCACGTACATTTTTGTGTTTAGACTTAGTTATGTTGTATATTTGTTGAATGATTTTTTTTATGACCTATAAGAGAGTTTGGGCAGAACTACACATATAGGAAGTAACTTTAGGATGTTTTTGGAAGCATAGACTGTTACTGAAGAGCTGTTATAAGTCACCTGCAGGTCACCTAGATAAATGATTATTGTCTTTTCATGTCTTTGTAATACATTTCAGACAGATTGTGACAGTGAAGTATGGTAAATGGAAATTAAGGTTGGCAATTCTTTAACTATTTTCTAGTGATTTGCATGTAGGTTGGGCTTGGATAATAGAGGGGCTTAAATGCCAGGCTGAAGTGTTGGGATTTTTTGTATAGCAGTGGATACTTTGAACATTTTTTTTTTAATTAGGGGATTGTCATGAACACATGAACAGAGATATGCCCAGAAAAATTAAGTTGGGGGCAGAAAGGGGAAGGTGATTAAGGTAGGGAGGTCAGTTAAGAGACAGTGTTTTTGTCAGGAAATATTGAGGACTTTAAGAAGTAGGGCAGCAGTGGAGATGGAAAAGAATGGATAGCTGTTAAAAATGAAAGCTCCTGGCCTCTACTGTAGACCAACTGAATCAGAATTTTCTAGATATGGAGAGTAGACAGTTGAACTTTTTTTTTAATCCTCACCCGAGCATATGTTATTATTGATTTTAGAGAGAGAGGAAGGGAGAGGGAGAGAGAAACATTGATGTGAGTGCCTCCATACCTGCTCCTAGATGACACTTAAACCAAATGAGCCACACCGGGCTGGACAGCTGAGCTTTTAACAAGGTCCACTCAGTGATTCATATGTCTACTATACTGTAGGGATTGTCAACTAGTGTGCCACAAGAATTTTTAAAACATGCAGTACCTGACTACTCAGTCAGGGGCATGGACCTCTTTTCCCTTAGATTTTCAAATAAAAACAGCCAACACAACAATAACCATCTGGTGTGAATGAATCAAAAATTATATCTTTTTTAAAATAATATTGGCCAAAAATATATTTTTTGGTGTGCTGTAGGATTTTAGTAATTAGTTTATGTGTCCCATGATATGAAAAAGTTGAAAATTGCTGCTATAATAGATAATATGAAAATAGAGTTGACTAGGCTGGCAACTGTTGGTGTACTCAGGACATCTCTATGTGACCGAGAGAATGATGAAGCTGTTTTAAGATATTAGGGAACATAGGAAAGGGGGAAGATTTGGAGGTGCAGACAGTGTGTTCAGTTTGACATACTAGATCAGATTTGACTTGGCAGCAGAATACTTTGTGCAGTGGGATTGGTTGGGAAAGTAAAATGGTTACTCAGGGCAAAAGCCAGGGCAGTAGATAAACAATCTTTAAAAAATACATTTGTACCTGGCCATTGTTGCTCAATGGTTGAGTGTCAACCTATGAACCAGGAGGTCAAAGTTCAATTCCCAGTGAGGTCACATACCCAGGGTGCAGGCTTGATCCCCAGTGTGGGGTGTGCAAGAGATAAGCCGATCAAAGATTCTCGCTCATCATTGATGTTTCTATCTCTCTCTCCCTCCCCCTTCCTCTCTGAAGTCAATAAAATTTAAAAAAAAAAAAGATTTGTGAGTATCTTTACAATACTAGGCCACTTATTTGCTGTTTTAGTCTACTGTTAGTGGAGACAGATATTTTGGTATAGGGAAGTAGCTGTACTCGGAGAAACTAGGGAATCTGCTCAGTCCAAGCTTTCAGGGAGACCCGTGTGCCCTCCACACAAGTTCTGAGGTCTCTGGAACCTAGGCAGCAGCCTGCATGATATTGTCTGAACCCAGTTATGACTGAGGGAAGAGATGCGTTACACTAGGTCAGGGTCACCAAATACTGAATAAAAAGAGAAGTACTGCTATCTAGATTCTTGACAGCTGAAATTGCTGATGTGTGACTGGAGCTACATCTGTGCAAAGTATGTCTTGTACTTAGAATTGTTACTCATTTCTTTGGAGAGGTGGTTTTTGTTCTTGTGTACTGGTTTTGGTTTCTTGGATGGACCAGCAGCAGAGGACCCATGCACCACACTCAAGAGGCAGCCCATCTCAGGTTAAAATGCTGGAGATTTTCCAGACCCAAAGTTCCTCATAAAAATGATTCTGTGCCTTTGATCTTCAAAATCTTAAGTCCCTGGTTTTTGGAGGGTCACAGCTTCAATTAGTAAGTCTTTGAATGACTACATACACAGACCATCTAGTATGAAGTATGTTTGAAAGAAAAAAGTCTCTACCCTCAAGTAATTGCAGTCTAGTTGGGAGAAAGAACAACACAATAAATGACTTGTGAACTTAATCATCATGTTCTTTAACTGGCTGCTGTGTACGCCTGGACTTCTAGGGGCATGTCCCCCTGGCCATACCGCAAGTCTTCTTATTCTGGCATGATGAATTCAATCTCCTCACTCTAACCACAACCCCACATCCTTGCACTTCTCACTGGAAGTTACTTTTAAAACACCAGTTCTTTGACTTCATCAGAACCTCAAGTCTAAAAACCTCTCTGTTTGCATCTACATTAGTTTCAGTTTAGATGCTGCAGCTCAAATATCAGCCATTCATTAGATGATATCAACTTCAGCTTCCTTCATCATACTTTAGTTTCAAGCCCTGGTATGTTCAGCTGTATGTTTTGTTCATGCCTGAGCCAGGAAATTGCTAGAGAAAGCCAATCAACAGTGTCACTTTAACAATTTATGGACTCTGCTGTCATCATTGGCCACAAACCCTGCTGTTTCCTTGTACTCTTACACATCCTCCACATCTGCCATTTCTCTGTGTTCCTCAAACCACCGGCCCTTTTACCACCCTACTCCCTCTCAATAAATGACTCTACCTCTTATAACTCAGAGAATGCAGCTCCCTTCACCTCTAGCCCTCCAACCTGTTAGCACACTCCTTTGCTCCTTTTCTCTTATTCTGATGGAAGGGTACCCTGACCATCTATAGCAGTGGTTCTCAACCTTCCTAATGCCGCGACCCTTTAATACAGTTCCTCATGTTGTGGTGACCCCCAATTTCATTGTTACAAATTGAACATAATTAAAGCATAGTGATTAATCACAAAAACTATGTAACTATATATGTGTTTTCCGATGGTCTTAGGCGACCGCTGTGAAAGGGTAACTTGACCCCAAAGGGGTCGCAACCCACAGGTTGAGAACCGCTGATCTGTAGTGAAGCACTCTACCTAAATCACAGATCCTTTTATTTTAGGGCCAAAGAAGATAGAGTCTGAAGGCAGGAAGATTTATTAGGGGAAAGCTCTTTTAGTCATTCGTGGATTATTAAAAATGAGTGAAAAATCAGAGGGAGCTCCGAGCCTGAGGTTTTAGGTTGAATAGTTATGCCTTTGACAGTAAAAGGGAAGACTAAGAGGGATGTGGTGATGAAATTCATTTCAACAGCTATTGAATTTCTTCAGAAGTTACTGTCGCCTGCAAGTCCCTGTAGGCTTTGTCTGCCTGTCAGCCTTATGTGCATAGTGTATAGGCTCAGATTGAGGTGGGGTCTTTCTCTCAAATAGTATTTATTTCTTCCTCTCCTATTTTTCAACAAGAACTGGTGGTGAGCCAATATGGTGGAATTTCTACCACCTACTTCTGTAGGACTAGTCGTTAAATAGAACAGTAATCTCCCTCTCTGGAGCCTCAGAGAGCTTGGCACTCTTTCTGCTTTGTGAAAAGGGATACTTTTTGTTTCTTCATCTGTTCTTGTTAAGCTTTTAGAATAACTTCTAAATTTCTAATTGCAGACAAGCAAGGTAGCCAAACATGAGTATTATATAGAGTATAAAAATGGCCCATGCATGCTGGGCAGGACATATATAAAAGGAAACTGGACAAGTAAAGGCAATTTTTAGTCTTTCCAATTTTAACTTTATTCAGTTACCTTTCAGTAAATTAAAATTATTTAATTTTTAAGTTGATAGAGGTAAAGCTGGTATATAAAAAGTTTAAATGTTGGTTCTCTTCTCCTGATGGTTACACTTTTGAAACCTAATCCAAGTCAAATAGCATTACTGCTTATGCATTGTGTTTTTATATTTTAGGAACCCTGATTGCTCTCCTTCAACACGTTCAATATGAAGTTACTAGTAATACTTTTATTTTCCGGACTTATACCTGCGTGTAGAGGTAGTAACTCTTCGTATAGTTTGCCACCGAAGTTACTACTGGTGTCCTTTGATGGCTTCAGAGCTGACTATCTACAGAACTATGAATTTCCTCATCTCCAGAATTTTATCAAAGAAGGCGTCTTAGTGGAGCATGTTAAAAATGTTTTCATCACAAAGACATTTCCAAACCACTATAGTATTGTGACGGGCTTGTATGAAGAAAGCCATGGCATTGTAGCTAATTCCATGTATGATGTAATCACCAAGAAATATTTTTCTGACTTTAATGACAGGGATCCTTTTTGGTGGAATGAGGCAGTACCTATTTGGGTGACTAATGAGCTTCAAGAAAACAGATCAAGTGCTGCTGCTATGTGGCCTGGCACCGATATACCCATTCACAATACCACTCCTTCCTATTTTATGAATTATAGCTCCTCAGTATCATTTAAGGAGAGACTAAATAATATTACCATGTGGCTGAGCAATTCGAACCCACCAGTTACTTTTGCTGCGCTCTATTGGGAAGAACCAGATGCAAGTGGACATAAATATGGACCCGAAGATAAAGAAAATATGCGCAGAGTATTGAAAGAAATAGATGACCTTATTGGTGACTTAGTCCACAAACTCAAAATGTTAGGATTGTGGGAAAATCTTAATGTGATCATTACAAGCGACCATGGGATGACCCAGTGTTCTAAGGAAAGACTGATAAACTTGGATATCTGCCTCAATCGTTCAGACTACACTCTTATAGATTTGACCCCAGTTGCTGCAATACTTCCCAAAATAAGTAAGTAAATTTTAGCCAAGGAATATTTGAATGGGGCAATGGATTGAGGGTTTTGTAAGAGAATAAAGGTTTGGCTTTTGTAGTTAAGAACCATCTATTCTTACACTTACTCAGAGTGGGATTATATGTTTTCCCTCTACTTTACAAATTTTAAAACAAAACAATTAGCTTAAGATTTATGTTCAGAATTATTTCTTTCCTTTTTGGTGTATTTTGTAATTCATACAAATGGAAAAAGGAAATTTTTACCCTTGAAAACATCTGGAATATTTGTGTGAGATATACCTTTTGTTTACTGATAGAATTAGTGATGAGTAGTAACATGTAATTAGTTAATATTTACTGAGGAGGCTAGATGTGAAAATTGTCCCCTTTGTATAAAAAGTCCACCAGGAATAATAACAAAGTGAAAAAAGAACTATATGAATGCTTTGAAAAAAGTGTGTGTGTGTGTGTGTGTGTGTGTGTGTGTGTGTCTCCCAACACTGTCACATGATTATTCTCTCTCTCTCTGTCTCTTTTTTTTTAAGAATTAAAAGTGATTTAATAGATGATATTGTTCAGGATTTTTTTCCAGTTATTTTAGTTAAAATTATTTTTTCCTTATCAACCATGACTTTTTCCTTTACTATTTCCTTTTTCTTCAGATAAAACAGAGGTTTATAACAAACTAAAAAACTGTAGCTCTCACATGAATGTTTATCTCAAAGAAGACATTCCTGCTAGGTTTCATTATCAACATAATGATCGAATTCAGCCTATTATTTTGGTTGCTGATGAAGGCTGGACAATTGTGCTAAATAATTCATCACTAAAATGTAAGTATTAATTTAGTATAAATTAACATTTCTCTTGTGTCCTAGGGATAAATCATAACTTGACATTGTTCTGTTAACAGAATACTTTGACTTAGAGTTGTTGACACAGTATAATTAGTTCAATTTCAACTACACCATTGTGAGTTCTTCATTCAATTCTCAGGTTTTTATTTGATAGCAAGTCACAATAACCACAATGTCACCCTTGCATTAGAAGGTTGGGTGACCGTAAGGGTGAAGGTATAGTTTTACTTTCTTACCAAAACTGCAGAGTCTCTCAGTAACTTTCAAGATGAAAGAGAAATAAGGAAACAAAGAAAAAAAAGAAAAGCAAAATAAATAGGAAGAGATTAGCTAGTTCAAATTTCTCATTATTTTTTATGTTAAAAAAATATGTCCAGACCTAGCCAGTTTGGCTCAGTGGATAGAGCGTTGGCCTGTGGACTCAAGGGCCGGGGGTTCAATTTCAGTCAAGGGCACATGCCCGGGTTTCAGGCTCGATCCCCAGTAGGGGGTGTGCAGGAGGCAGCCAGTTAATAATTCTCTCTCATCATTGATGTTTCTATCTCTCCCTCCCTCTCCCTTCCTCTCTGATATCAATAAAAATAAATTAAAAAAAATTTTTGTCCAAGTAACCCTATGTGTTTTCCCAATGATGAAATCATTTACCTGAATGCTACAGCTGTTTAAAACATTGGACAAGAACCAGAAAGTAAACAAACAAAAATGCACTGGGTAAACAAAATAGATGTATCAAAATCCCTCAAAAAAAGATGATGTATAGGGGAGAGTTACAGGTCTTCCTGGAAACAAGCTTCTTTATCCATATGCTAAATTCAATTTGAACACTTCTAAAAAAAATCTAATTTTGTAGTCAATAGCAGGGGTCAGGAAACTTTCTGTAAATGGCCAGATAGTAAATATGTATTTTAGGCTTTTGGGACGGCTGGTCTGAACTGTTCAACTCTGCCTTTACAGTGGGAAAGCACCCATAGACAATATCTGTAAATTGACATGGGGTGTTCCACTGAAATTTAGTTTACCAAAGCAAGTGGAGGGCTGAATTTGGTGAGGTGCTGTTGTTTGCAGTCCCTGATCTAAAGCAATTCAGAAACATCAGGCAATAATCAAACCAGGGTCAATGGAATCATATACTGTTTACTAGAGGCCCGATGCACGAAATTCATGCAAGAGTAGGCCTTATTTCCCCTGGCTGCCAGCACCGGCTTCCCTCTGGCACCCAGGACCCGGGCTTTCTTCTGGCTGCTGGCAGGCACTGGGGACCTGGGCTTCCCTCGCAGCCCAGGCTTCTTCCAGAAGGTCGTCCAGAAGGTCGTCTGGTCTAATTAGCATATTACACTTTTATTATAGATACTTGTCATACTATAAAAACTTGGAAAATACAGAAACATTTAGAAAAGACAACAAAAAGTATCCATAATCCCTCAATATAGAGGTACAGACAAATGTTAATTGTGGGAGTTTTTTGCCTTTCGAATCTTTTTCCTATTACATATACTTGCATATTTTTACATTATTGAAATAATATCTTTTTAGGTATAGTGTTATATTCCACTTTTTATTATATTGGTCATATGCATTTTTATTTTCAAATATCTTAAGCATACAATTAAAGAATAATAAAACACTGGTATACTCATCACTTAGACCCTGCACTTCATGTGAAAGTGGGAGCTTATTAAATGCAAGTGGTGTACATTAAAAGGCAATATTTGTTGCCGTAGCCAGTTTGGCTCAATGGATAGAGCGTCGACCTGTAGACTAAAGGGTGCCAGGTTCGATTCCGGTAAAGGGCACATGCCCAGGTTGTGGGCTTAAGCCCCAGTAGGGGGCGTGCTGGAGGCAGCGGATCAATGATTCTCATCATTGATGTTTCTATCTCTCTCTCCCTCTCCCTTCCTCTCTGAAATCAATAAAAATGTAATTAAAAATATATAAAAATAAAAGGCAATGTTTGTTAAAATAAAGCTAAAATTTGAGAATCTGATATGGGAGTTTGGTTAGAGACCATCACATTTTTCTTTGAGTTAGACTTTCACTGGCATTATAAGTTGGAATCGTCTGGGTCAGCGGTTCTCAACCTGTGGGTCGTGACCCCTTTGGCGGTCGAATGACCCTTTCACAGGGGTCACCTAAGACCATCCTGCATATCAGATATTTACATTACGATTCATAACAGTGGCAACATTACAGTTATGAAGTAGCAACGAAAATAATTTTATGGTTGGGTCACAACATGAGGAACTGTATTTAAAGGGCCAGGAGGTTGAGAATCACTGGTCTGGGTAGACTTCATATTCAGTACAAGGATCCCATCTGTGACATTCACAGTTACCTGGCCCTTCAGATGATGAGGTGTTCATTAACTGTCAGTGAACGAGTAGTATCCTTCCTATATAATAAAAGCCTAATATGCTAAGTGTCTGACCTTTCGTTAGACCATTCAACCAGTTGCTATGATGCGCACTGACCACCAGCGGGCAGACGCTCTGACCAGTAGGTTAGCTTGCTGCTGGGGGCTGGCTGATCGGGACTGGGCCAGCAGGCTGGACACTCCCTGGAGCCCTCCTGCAGTGCCTCCCCAGCTGGCCAACCTCCCACGGTCTCTCCTCAGCTGGCCAGCCCCGATTGGGACTGCATAAGACAGGCTGGACATGCTCTGGAGCCTTCCCACGGTCCCTCCCTAGCCAGCCAACCTCCCGTTGTCCCTCCCTGCCCCAATCGTGTACTGGTGGGGTTCCTCGGCCTGGCCTGCGCCCTCTTGCAATCCGAGACCCCTCAGGGGATGTCGGAGAGCCAGTTTCGGCCTGATCCCCACAGGCCAGGCTGAGGGACCCCACTGGTGCATGAATCCATGCACTGGGCCTCTAGTATTATATAACCCTATTTCTTATCACAGGAGCAATTGACATAAGTAAGTCTGCAGGTTCACTTCTTCACCATTCAATGGTTTTAACTCACTCCTCCCCAATTACTCGGGACTTTCAGCCAGACCACTTTTTCTCACTGGTGCTGTTTGCAGTGGGCTTTTGCAAACAGTGCTGGAAAGTAACAGGTAAAATAGGTGGATCTAAGATTGAAAAATAAGTACATAAAATTGAGAAATAGTTTTAAAGCCACCATGACTGATTGGAAAAGGGATGTGTGTATGAAAAAGGGAACATGGCTGAGTTGAAGAAAATAGAAAATTTTATTTCTGGCCCCTGTCTGGTTCAACAGATCAGAATTCTAGTGGATGGGAATTATACTGGGAAGACTCTAGTATATTTACACGCAAAGCAGGTTATTTTCTAATAGAAAGATTATTTACTAACATCATTTTTGTTCTTTTTCAGTAGGTGACCATGGTTATGATAATTCTTTGTCTAGTATGCATCCATTTCTGGCTGCCCACGGTCCTGCATTTCACAAAGGCTACAAACAATGCACAATTGACAGTGTGGATATTTATCCAATGATGTGCCACATCCTGGGACTAAAACCACATCCCAATAATGGAACCTTTGGTCATATTCAGTGTTTGTTAGTTGACCAGTGGTGCATTAGACTCCCAGAAGCCATTGGAATTGTTTTTGGTGTACTCTTGATCTTAACCATTCTAACGTGCCTCTTCATAATCATGCAGAATAGACTGTCTGCACCGCAGCCATTTTCCCGACTTCAGTTACAAGAAGATGATGATGATCCTTTAATTGACTAATAATATGTGCTGGAGTTTATACAAAGTGTTTTTGCTTAGTCACAAAACCAAGGATACACCCAAATGTGTTATAACTATGAAAAAGTATACTTTGAAAGACAAAGAATTTATACCAAGCATGCTAAAATTGTGTTTTACTTTTCTTTGTGTTTTCTTTTGGTGCATTAGCTAATACCAAAAACAAAAACACCCTGAACATTGTAAACATTGCTGATAGATTATTAGTTAACACTATTTCTCTAACTAGAAACATTTTTAAGAAAAATACTGCCTCTGCCTTTCTTTGTGCAATGAAAATTTGACATATGAAAATATAACAAAATTTAGTAGGCATACTTTTCTAATAAATTTTTATATTTGTAAATGAAACAACAGAATCTTTATGTAATTAGTGGAATTTATGCATCAGGGAGGAAAAGTTTTCTATATTTTTATATTTACCTTTAATGGAGTTTGTATCCTAAGTAAACCCTTGAGTTAGGAAATTCTCTGTGATAGTTATATAAAATCAGTTAACCAGGCCGAAAAGATCAAGCATATAAAGATAGTATTTTAAGAAGTTATTATAAAAAACTATCAAAGACAATGTGGTACAAAGCCTCTGTCTTCACCATTGTGTCTTTGTTAAGACCCTTAAGCTGTTGAAATCTCAGAAGTTTTCTTTTGAAGATTATTGCTAATAAGAAATTAATAGAGAAAAGTGGATTGCTCTGTGCTTACTGGCTTTTGTAAGTTATTTGTGTGTGTGCACAAGTGTGTTAGCATGTATGGGTGTGCAGACTGTAGTCAACTTATGGAAGGAGATCAGAGATGGACTTGACCATAGATAGGCTTCTGCATTCCCATAGAACCCAGCTCTTAGGAAAGGTTATATTTGCATTCATATTTGTTTCCCTTCGTCTAACTCACAACTTAAAATCATAATTTTAAAAATGCATTCATTTTTGTTACCATTTTTAACCTTCTCATGTTGATGATTATAATTAGAAGTATCAAAGAGCTACAGAAAAATTTATGACCTGATTATATATTTGGTTTTGATGAGTCAGAATGAGAAAAAGATATTTTTATGTTAATCTTTGGACTTTTATGCCTTACTTTTTAGACAACAGAGTAGTTATATTTAAAGTGGAATTTAATATCTGTTGCTGTTTTACATTATCTGTATGTTAAATGACAGAATAAGCTTTCAACAGTGCCTAACGTTTCCTAGCTTGAGTGCTAGGTGGAACCTTCTAATAATCAAAATTAATATGAAGAAACTGAGTTGTGACAGACTAGATTATATGTATTAGAGGAAAACTTGGGTTCAGGAACCATTCTTTGGAAGTTGAGGCAAGCAATTGCTATTAATAGTGTGATCTTTAAAGTTTTGACAATACAAAATAAAGTAGGCACCCAGTTCGCAGATACAGAAATTATTTACAGTAAATATGCAGCCCAGTGAAATGTTGATTATCTGTGATGGTTAAGAGCAATGGTGCTAATCATCAAGTGTTTAATTCACCCTGTCTGGTCACTGCTGGGTTCCTGATCCTGGTATTAGTGCCTGTTGTATCTGGGGTTCTTGAGAAGCATTTCCACATCCTGTATAAATAGGTGACACTGATAGTGACCATAAGTTGACTGTATTAAGAACAACATAATACATAAATGAAATAAAGCCAATAGGGCTAATTTTGCTTTTTGACACATTTTATTACTGAAGTTTTTCCTCACATAAAAGTTATCTTAAAGGTAATAGTTGATTTGAATGAAATAATAGAAAATTTTCTTTTCTACTCCAATTGCCATTAAAAAAATACCAACAAAGAGTACAACAGTCACATTTAAAGCCCTGGATATTTTAAAAATAGTAGGAGGGTAATTTATACTATTTGAGTAGTCTTTGGTCCTTGGAAAGGTGTGAGTTTTAGTGATTGCATTAGCTTGATGGTGGTACGAGTTTCAGTGAACTATACGTGGCATCCAACCTGTGAGTAGATTTTATATAGGATGGGATAGGAAGGGATGCTGTCTGTGTCTTAACCCCTGAACAAAAGACATTTACCTACTTGTCTTATCTCTCAGTCTCAAGATATTAACTTTAATTGAAATTGTAAATATATATATATATATATGTTCATGTATAGAATTTATTTAATCAAAGAGGTGTTTTATTATTATATTGAACTCTGTGTTAATTCATTTGTATTTATAAAAACTATCGCTGTCAAAGCTAATGATCCTCCAATACACGGGAAAAGTCTTTTAGTAAAGTAGGCTTTTACAGTAAGGTTTTGATGTATATTATATAATTGGCAAATGTACCTTGCTGTTTTCTGGGTGATAGAAAGTATTTAGCTGTTTATGACATTTAACTGTTTGACAATACTCAAAGTTAATAGGATAATTTTTTATTAGGTGTTTTTTTTTATTCAGTGAGTGCATTCAGAATAAGTACGTTAACTGATAATGGGTACAGTTCTGCTCTCATTAACATGCAGGTTCTCTGGTCCATGCTCTGTACTATAGGCTTTGTGTTATTGTTCCATTAAGCTTGCTCTAAGAGGTAAATGTTTGGAACATTAAAGGATTAAAAATGCCTTTGCATTATTCTTGGGTTCCTCTCTTTCTAGCCTATATCTGGTAAGCTTTAAGGGTGAATGCATTTAATTTCTTTTATTTGGAGGGTTTTACTTCATTGTGAATACCTAAAGCTACAAATGAAGGACAAAGATGATATGGAAAGTGTTTATTTATTGTCAATTCTTAAAGTAGTGTGTAAATAAAATGACAGTGTGCTTTAAAAATTTTGTAATATAGTGCCTTAAGTTGAAGTAAAATGTATTTTGATTTATTATTTGAATTCATAGTTAATGACTTTGATTTTAAAATGTATCTGAATAAAATCTACCAATACATTTTCACTGTATTACTAAATATAGATGCAACATTATTGATGTTTTCTTTAATTTGTCACCATGCACAATATACATATTGTAACAGATTTTTATGATTTAGTAATACTGCATAAGTCCACATAAGCATTCATTACAGATTTTTTAAACCCAAGATTAAGTGTATAACATTTAAAACAGTGTATAAATATACAATCCCACATAAGGACATTATTGGAAAGAAAGACAATATAAACTTTGCAGAGCTTTCGGACTATAATTTATTGGATTCCAGTAGAAAAGGAGGAAGTTTGAAAAAGCTGATTAGAAAACACTAGGAGTAAGGGTGATTATAGTATTTAAACTTTGTTTTGCACATAGCCATAAGTAGTTAATGTCTAAATGAGTGTAGATTCAACAAAGTTTTCTCTAGTAGAGTAGTTAGTGATTTATTTTCTACTTTGATATTCTGTAAACACTGCTAGCTAGGAACTGTGGGACAAAGAACAAAATGCACTTCCTTTACTCTGGAAGAGTTCAGTAACATTTCAAAAGTGGTAAAAATAAATTACTTAGGTCCAGTCATGGTGTCACTCTTGCTGCAGAGTCCTTGGATCGAGAACCATTTTCCAGGCAGTATCCTTCCTGAAGTTTAGATCCATGTTCACACCTTTCCCCCATCCCCAGCCTTCTTGGTGCCTGTGCTGGGGTATGTTTGGTCCCAAACACAATTTGCTTCTGAGCATATGTGAGAATCCAGATGAGCCTGTTGGTTCCGGGAGTCCTGTCACATACGCAAACACTGAATATATAGTGTGTGTAGGTAGTTGTTAGTGTTGAAATTGCTAGGTCCTGGGACTCCTGTCTCATGGTCAAAATTTTTTTTTTTATTCTTTTAAAAAAAAATATAATAAGTATTACAAAGGGTATTACATATGTGTCCTTCCCCCACCCCCCGCCCTTGACAATCCCTGCCCTCCCTTACCCCCCAGTGTCTTATGTCCATTAGTTATGCTTATATGTATGCATACAAGTCCTTTGGTTGATCTCTTACTCCCCTCCCTTCTGCCCCCCAACCCTCTCTGGCCTTCCCACTGCAGTTTGACAATCAGTTTGAGGCAGCTCTGCCTCTGTATCTATTATTGTTCAAAAGTTTGTAATGGTCTTTATTATCCATGAATGAGTGAGATCATGTGGTATTTTTCCTTCATTGACTGGCTTATTTCACTTAGCATAATGCTCTCCAGTTCCATCCATGCTGTTGCAAATGGTAAGAGTTCCTTCTTTTTTACAGCAGCATAGTATTCCATCGTGTAGATGTATCATGGTCAAAATTACCTGGCAAGGGCAAAGTCTTACCCAAAGAACAAACCTTCCCTTTCCACATATCTTCTACCCCCTTGACCTCTAAAATCAGATCTCAATCATCAATAAACTAAATTTAGTGGCTCATCCACTGACAGCTCTATAATGATGGTTAACAGATATATGTCTCCAGTTCAGACCTCCTTCCTGTGTCAAAGATGTGAACTGCCATTGACCCAATCAGCATTCTTTTCATATCTACCATGATTGACTTCACTTTCATAGGCAGAGCTGGTGGAAAGGATCAATAGACATTAATGTAAAAACAATTCTAGACAACTCCACAATACAAATACACATTTTAATAAAAGGGTTCCTATAGGTCACACCCAGACTCAGTGGTACTGATTTATATAGTATTTGAATTGTCCACTGAGGAGAGTGAATTTTTTTACACAATATATCTGTGAAGGCTTTTTTTATCTTTTTTATTAAAGATACACTGGAGTGTTGTTTCCAGTGAAATGGTTGAGTATGTAATTCAAACCAATCCTCTTGCTGGGTATTAGAACTCTAGAAAAAATAGAAGAGATTATGCTATGGCAGTGTGGAATTACCAAGAAAGTGAAGAATCAAGAGTCCAAGAAAGTGAAGAATCAAGAGTCCAAGATTTAGAAAAAGGAAGAAATCTGTAAAAGTGAGTTCCTTAATAGAATCTGAATTCTGGAGGAGGCAGCTGAGGAGCTGGAAAGCTAGTAAAAAAAAAAAGAGGGTTTGGGGGAGTAGAAGGAGAGAAAATAATGTGAAAAAGACCAAGATAAGTAGAACACTTACAAATCATAACAGCCTACTTTACACAATTTGGCACAAATAATTTGAAAACACATGAAATGAATAATTTCCTAGAAAAAATATTTGACAGTAATGATTCCAGTAGAGAAAGAAAACTAAAACCAATTTTTGTATTAAACATTGAGAAAGTATCAGGCCCATAAAATAATAAAAATCTTTTTTAGTGCCTTTTAGGTTTATCATTATAGTTGCCTAATAAAACTGGTGTTCTAGAAAAATACATAATTTTCTGAGGTGAGTGTAACATTGATAATCAAACCTGATAACAGCACCAAAGAAAGAAAATTACAGACCAATCTCAAAGGGCGGGGGGAGCAAAATGGAAAATCAAATCCAACTACATCAATAGCTAAATTTAAATACACAGCATTCCAATTAAATGGCAGAGATTGTCTGATGGGATAAAAAAGCACGATCCAGTTACATGTAGTCTACAGGAGATACACTTTAATTACAAAATTGCAAATTAAAAGCAAAAGGATAAACAGTTATATACCATGCAAACTGTCAGAAAGCTGGAGTACCTATATTAATATTATCAGACACAGTAATCTTCAAGACAAGAATTTCCAGAGATAGGGACATTTCTAAAGTACTATTAGACAACAATTGTAAATGTTCACACTTAAAAAAAGCTTAAAAGTTCATGAATCAGAAAGTGATGGAATCAAGGAAAAAAAAGGAATTTACAAACATAGCTGAAGATTTTAACACTCCTCTCATAAGTAATTGATATAACAACCAGACCAAGAAAAAAACAAACCAGCAAGGATATAGAAGACCTGAGTGATGGTATCAACCACATTGACTTAAATGACACTTAGAGAAGATTATAGCACCAAACTGCAGAAGACATATTCTTTTCAAGTGCACATGGAATTATCACCAAAATAGATTATATGCAGGACCATAAAACAAGTTTCAGTAAGTAATCTCAAAAAACTGCAATCTTATAAAGTATATTTTCTGACAATGGAATTAAATTATATTCCATAACAATAAGATTAAGAAAAATCTTAAATATTTAGAAGTTAATATATTTTTAAATAGAAATCAAATAAGAGAATATATTAAACTGAATTAAAATGATAACGTACCAAAGTCTGTAGTCTGCAGCGAAAGCAGTACTTAGGGGGAAATTTATAGCCTTGATTGCCTGTTTTTGAGAGGAATGAAGGTTAAAAATAAATGATTTAAGCTTCCTCTTTAGGAAGCTAGTAAAAAGATGTAGAAAGTCCAAAGTGAGTGGAAGAAGAAAAAAAGAATCGGAAAACCAAGATGGCGACATAGGTAAACACAGGAGATTGCTGCCTCGCACAACCACTTCAAAAATACAACTAAAAGACGGAACGGGCATCACCCAGAACCACAGGAAGGCTGGCTGAGTGGAAATTCTACAACTAGAAGGAAAGAGAAAAGCATACCGAGACTCAGAGGAGGTGCAGTGTGGAAGTAAAATACTAAGGTGCGGAGGTGCATGCGGACTGGGCTGGCGGCTGAGGGCATGGTTGTCGTTTTCAATTGGGAGGGAGTCTCAGGCTCTGAGCTCCAGTTCCGGGCGAGTCTCTAGGGACCCAGACTCATATGGGAGAAGCGGGACTGTCTGGCAGTGGTCGGAAATCGAGGGCAGCTTTCTCTCCGAGGGGCTTGCAGCGATTACCAGGACATTCAGAAGCAAAGCCTCTGAGGGCAGGACTGAGAGCAGCCATAACTGCTAGCCCCGCCCTGTTGATCCCGTGGGACCAGCCCCACCCAAGCCCTGCAGGGAGGCTTTTGCTGGATAGCCTCAGGCAAAGGCTAGATTACCACCTCCCTAGAGATCCAGGAGCCAGGAAGCCCAGAGGTCAGAGTGGGACCATCCAGTTTGCAGCTCCATGGAAACATAAAGGACACACTCAGGGGGCAGACTCAGTGAGCACCAAAGCCCCATTGAAGCAAGTCTTGCCCCAGAGGGGTGTCTCCAGCACAGAAGTTCTCCCACTGCAGACACAGCTGATTCTCAAAGCCAATTGGCCTGGAGGCCAAATCCTCCCAGTGATACCTACAACAATCAAGGCTTAACTACAACAAGACTGTGCACAAAGACCACAAGGGGGTGCACCAAGAGTGTCCTCCTCAGGTAATTGGGGAGGCTGAACCACTGGGCCCTAGAGGACACTTAGCACAGAAAACCACTGTATCAACACAAGGAAGCATCAAAAATATGGAGACAAAGAAAAAGGACACAAATGACAGAAATGGAGGAAAGCAAACTACTGGGTATAGAGTTCAAAACCACACTCTTAAGGTCTTTCAATAAGTTTCTAGAAACTGCCAATAAATTTAATGAGATC